GAAGGAAGGAAGGAAGGAAGGAAGGAAGGAAGGAAGGAAGGAAAGGGGGGAGGGAGGGAGGCAATGCTGGCCCAGTAGCAACAGTTCTGCAATTGGTATAAAATTCCAAAGCCAGCAGAGAAGTTGACCTTCATGTCTTGTTTCTTTGGAGCTTGCTCTTCCAATATGGAAACTGCAACCACCCCTCTTCTCCAGGCCCAGAAGCCTGGAGAATCCCTTTTCCCCAACAGTTTATAATGGCTCTAAGTCTGCAGTTGGGGTTAGCCACACAGGTTTCCAATTACTGTTTCACCCTGTCAATATTTTTACATTTGGGGGGGAAAACAACTTGCAGGAAAAGCAGTTGTTTGCACCTTTATATGTGTAGTTTTGTATGCCACTTTCCCTAATACATTTTTAGAAACACAATTCACCCTAATACATGCTTTTATATAGAACTACTAACATATCATTTGCAGCTCAGCTATCCCTGATACATGTAATCTTCTTGATGCCTCTTTCCCAGACAACTTCTTTGTGTAACCAAGAAAACCAAAAAAAGTGTGTTTCGCTGGATGGTGCAATTTTGTTCCCATTAAAATCTGTGGCAGATACGTATGTGTACATCCTCCCTGCTTCTTGTGAATTGGCCCTGCTTCATTTACCTCCCCTCCCCTCAAGATCTGACTGTCAGTCACTCACCTTTTCTGCAGGGGGTCCTTGAGGTCCAGGGGGCCCTGCTTTTCCTGGAAAGCCTGGAGGACCCTAAAAAACAAACCAGCAACTACTTCAGAACTATAAGCATGCAACATTAGTAAGAAAAGCTCCATTCAATCCAAGTATGGAACCTCGTAGTAGAACAAGCAGGATTCTGCAGTCTGTCTAAATTACCTGAATTATGCAAAGTTACATGTTCTATAACCTATCATAGGGAGGGGACAGGAGCTCTGCAAAAACCAGAACTCCCCCCTAATTCTACTCATTATCCATCTTTGGAGCTTCTGAGATTTCAGTCGGCTCTGATGCTTCACAGTGCAATGTAATGAGATTTGGATGTTAGCCTGTGTGCTGTGGTGAAATGGATGTTCAAAGCTGTTCTCTGAATAGAAGATGATTTGTGGTTTTGTCCCCCTGGGACAAGAGGAGGCCCCTGGCCAAGAATTTCCACCCCAGGTAGCATTCAGGAAGTGAGAAAACCAGGCAGAAAGTTCTGTGGTTCTGTGAAGATCTGATGAAGTCTTCACAGGTGATATCTTTGGTTAGCTTCAAGCAGACTGTCTCATGCTGATGTTCTCCAGGTACCACTTCCCAGCTAGCACGGCCTAAAACATATCTGGAGGGCACCAGACTGGAGAAAGATGATTTGAAGCTTATGGGAAGTTAGTTTTTAATATATATTTTCCATTTCTGTACTGCCAGAGAAAGGACTGAAACATTTGTTTTTCTCACACTTTTATCACCTTCCTTCTTAAACAGATCCCTTCTGGGAATCTTTTCCCTAAAGAGAACCTTAAATAATTTAATTGGGATCTATAGGAAGAGGCTTTGTGACTCTTTCCTTGTTGCAACATACTGTTTCAGCTCAAAAACGCTTTACAAGTGTGATTGTGCAAAGACACCTGATGCTCCAGAAGAAAATATTTTGGAATATGCCAGACTTACCGGCGCCCCTGGAAAACCAGGCTGGCCTTGAAAACCCTGGGAATAAAGTAAATACAGATTAATACCCAGTAATGCCCAAGTTAAATAGACAAAATAGCTTCCCTGATGCAAGCTGTACTGATCTGAAAAAGCTAAGCAGAGTAAAACCAGATTAGCATTTGGATGGAAGACCACTATGAAATCTCAGGGCTGAAGGTTAAACTTGGAAGCTGAAAAAACTTCCCAGAAGAAAGCAAGGACCACTAACTTCTGTACTGGATTCTGTATTGTGTCCATTTAGTCAGTAGGCATCAAGTTCTTAAGGGACTTCCTTGCTTCCTCCCTCCCTCCCTCTCTCCCCTCCCCTCCCCTTCCCTTCCCTCTACCAGAATCCAGGGAAAACTTTGGGATGTTGCTATGTGGCTCTTGGCACAAGGGATTTGAAGTTACAAAAAAATTTCTACAGCGTTTTTGAAGTTCAGCAGAACTAGGCCTGGATGGACCCTGGGTGGAAAACAATTTCAACATCTAAGCTGCCACGCTGGAAAGATGCAAATATGAGAGGCACATGGAGGAAAGAAGGTCTCCGGTGCCCCAGTGGCAGTTTTCAAAAACCAGATTATCTCATCTTTTGATGAGGAATAGGAGCCATGCCGGTGGAATGGAGAGATCCCTGAAAGGACCAGGGCTGGCCGGAGCATAGAGTCCAATCCTTACTGCTGGGGGTTAGTTCACCCATTTGGTGTGATGCCTGCTGCCCCAGGTGGCATTGGGGTCAGGGCCCTAAGCTCCATGGGGAAGGTTAGGAGGCAGAAGTGGTAATTCAGCCAAAAGGACTACAAGAGATGAACAGCCAACGGAGCTCATTAGACTTGTGAGCTTTTGCCAGGACGTTTTGCGAGGACATCACAAGGGGCACCACAAGATACCGTACATTTCTGGTTTTTATCTTCTCCATTAGTTACTGTGAACCTTTTCTTTTTGCAAGAAGATGAGGAAAGCTAGGACTCAGAGGTATCCCCAAGTATGGCCAAAACAGTCAAGATGGGTGGTCATGATGGGGCAATCCAAGCTCTTCCCATTTTCTATGTGCACCATGTGTGCAACGCACATAAAAAAACAAGGCAGAATTTCAGCTGCACCATCCCGGCCGCCCTCAACCTTTTGGACCAGGCCCTGCAGACACCCCTGCTAGGACTCCAGATCAAGCCTCTAGCAGAGGCTAGAGGAAATAACACTCAAAGCACAGAGGCCCAGGGACACTATTGCACAGTGCCAAGAGAAGGGCACCCTTCCCTCTCTCTGGGTGAAGCCTGTTGGCCCATTAGCCCCATCTGGGGCCTGCTTCCATCCTGGCTCAGAACATCTCACCTGGTCGCCTTTTTCTCCTGAACTGCCTGGCAATCCTCGCTCACCTCTGGGGCCCTGTTGCAAGGAGAGAATAGAATTGGTGTTCTTTGCCCGGAGCTGTTGCAAGTCCTCCCTGGGCTGGCTAGCCAGTGTCTGGCAGGCTCAGATGATGAATGAATGAAAGCTGGAACCCTTGTCCCTGGCATGCTCCTTCTCAATTTGCAGAGCAGCTTTGAATTCGGAGAAGCGTTCAAAGAATCAGAGCCCTTACCACCAGCCTGGTGTGAAAGAGCCCAGACACAGGTTCACCTCCTTAGTGAGCACTATGACCCAGCTAAAATATAAAGTACACAGAATATTTTCCCTTCCTGTAGTCTCAAACATCCTAACAAGTATATATATCAGAGGTGATCACAAAAGCTTCCCTTGTTTACTCAACCTCTGATACCGTCCCTTCCTTTCTTATTACTGCCTGCTTTCAGACTGGAAACCCCTCAGGGCAAGACCTATCAAACCTGTTGTTTGCAAAACATAAATAACTTCCCATCAAAGCATTTGCCTACAGAAGGCAAGGCTTGCTGCAGCTCAGGTTTCTCAAAGGTGGTGGCCTCAAGATCTCTTGGGCTACAACACCCAGCATTTCCACCAGCTGGATGTCATGGTTGCAACCAAAGATCCATGCATAACTGAGCTGGTGAGCTTACTGTGGGTCCTGCGGGTCCTACAGGTCCATCCAAGCCAGGGGGCCCCTGGAGAGCAAAAGGAGACATTTCATCAGCAGCATTCTTAGAAATTAGGAGTGCTCATAGTGGAGGATGGGGTGGGGGAGATAAATTCATGGGTTGGTCTAACCGTAATACCTTCGGAGAGTAGGACAATTTTAAAAAGATCAAGTAGACAAATCCATGAACATGTTTATTATTTTTTATTTATTAGATTATCAGATTTAATAAATCTAATCTAACATATCTAATACATAAATAAAAATTATGAAAGCCTTTGATGTCCATGGTGAGAGCGGGTTAGAATATATGGGACATCACTAATGAACATTCCGTCGATAGTTATACCTTACTGATATGCTCATGAAATTGTTTGCATGCAAGAGGCTCCAAATTTGATCTATGGAAACTGCCAGTGGAGCTTCTAAAGCCCCTTTTTTAACCCCAGAGAACCACAGCCAGTTGCTGTAGATCAGTCTTCTCTGACTTGGCACTTTCCATGCTGGCAGGAGATGGTAGATGTCATGGCAAACGCCTCTAGAGAGGGCCAGGTTCGGAAAGGTTAATTTACAGAAATTTGAGTAGGATGATCTTTGGAATGAGAACACTTTCTGACAACCAGCCTTTGGGTCTCTCAACCCATCAGTCTATTTCAGTATAGAATGCACCCATGATGGACCTCAGCTCTTTTGGTTGTTGGGGAGCCATTCCCTATCTTCACTTCCTTTCAGTAGTTTCTACACATATTGTAGCCCAGATGAAGCGAATGGGTGGGAAATTGAGTTAATTAGCAACAGACCACCTTAAGCTATCTGTTTTTTTCTAGATAGGTTGGAGGGGGAAATTCTCCTTTTCTTTGGCAAGGGACACGTTGGCATTCAAGGTGCCAGCATAAGAGTTTTGTTTTTCTCCATAGCTTGTTTTGTGCTGAACCTGAGATATTTTTCATGGTTTGTTAGCTTCAGAGAGACTGACTGCCATGAAATGGAAGTTCCCCATCCACAGAAACAACAGAGGAGAATACATCAAGAATTTATGCAATTGTAGGCCCTTGATCACGATGTTGTTTGATAACCAAGGGATCTGCTCAAACTAAAACAGCGTTTCTCAACATTGGCAGCTTGAAGATA